GGACGGAAAAATGACTCAACAATTAAGAGCAGGGGCTACTCTTCCAGATAACCCAACACCTACATGGTATCTTACAAGTGCCCTGTAACTCTAGGTCTGTGGGGATCTGATATCCTCTTATGACTTCTGTGGGGACTGCACACAAAATTGTAATTAAAATTTTTAAAATAGTAAGGATGCTTGAAAAGGACATAGGAAATCATTATTTACACTTACCTAAAATCACATATAACACATATTAGCATATGAGTATACATATATATTTTAATTAAATGATACCTCTTGGGGTGATAATGCCCCCCAAGCCCATAGATTATCTAACAAAATACCAAGTAACAGGGATGAGAAACTTCTTTTCAAGTTGTTGGTCAGGGGAGCCCAAGAGACTCCCCCAAACAATGTACCCTACTGCTATTGTCTTTGATTGACTCCCAGAGGGTGAAGGTTAAGTGCCTAAAGCCAAAGACACTACACACCTTGAACACAGGACTTGGATTTGAACTGGAACTAACTAGAAAACCTCCTCCTTGAAGACTAGTTTTCATAGTACTAAAGAGAAGAAATATTAACAAGGATTAACATTAATTAGAATATGGTTTGAAAGTGTTTACTAATAGTCTTACTCAGAAAATATTAAATAAATAATTTTTGAAATAATAAAAATTAAAATATTAAGATAGACAGTGGTCCCCTCCTCCCCTCCTTTTCCTACAGCCTCACTGGGCCTACCTGGTCTTCCCCAATAATAGCTCACAAGCATCTTCCCCGTGGTCTTTGTCACACAGTGATTTGTGCCTGGAAGGTCATTCCCCCAGATTCCTGCTTGGCTCCTGTCCTTCACCAGTTGCTAATGAAAACAACCGTCCAAAAACACCTGAATAACAACACAGCAGGCCACCACCCAAGTCAAGCTTCTCCCCCTCATCTCTGCTGGACTGGGCTCAGAGCACATGGCCCCAGTCACAGAGCTGTGTGTTCAGGGTTTATGCTCCGCCCCTCGCCCCAACAGAAACCAAGCTCCAGGAAAGCAGTAGCTCCAGGCCGGTCTTCACCACTCCTTCTCCATGCCTAGAACAGTGCCTGCGTTCAATAAGCACTCAAGAAACAGACTGAACCTACTGAACTATAATTTTCATAACAAAGGGCAGGCTGTTTATAATATGAAAATATTGTTGACTGGGAGGAAAGCGAGAAAGCATAACTTAACCCAGACAAGAGGATAAACCATTTACACCACAGGGAGTAAATGAATAGCCAACTTACTTCTCTCCTGAAGTAAGTGCCGGGTTGTTTTATGTCAACCTGACACAAGCAAGGGTTATCAGAGAGAAGGGATCCTCCATTGAGAAAGTGCTTCTAAAGGTCGGGCTGCGCGTAAACCTGCATGGCATTTTCTTAGTTTCTGGTTGATATGGGAGGGCCCAGCTCACAGTGGGTGGTGCCAATCCTGCACTGGTGGTTCTGGGTTCTGTAAGAAAGCCAGTTGAGCAAGCCAGTAAGCAGCACCCCTCCATGGCCTCTGCATCAAATCTTGCCTCCAAGTTTCTGCCTGTTTGAGTTCCTGTCCCTGCTTCCTTCAATGATTGACTATGATGTGGTAGAGTGAGCCAAATAAACCCTTTCTTCTACAACAAAAAAGATAGGCAGTGATGACATACACCCCTGATCTGAACACTCAGGAGGCAGAGGCAGGCAGACCTCTGAGTTCGAGACCAGCCTGATCTACAGAGTGAGTTCCAGGACAGCCAGGGTTACACAGAGAAACCCTGTCTCAGACTTTGTAGATTAAAATTCATTGATTCCAGTAGTGTGATAGTAATGACCCAAGGGATGGGGAAGTCTAAGTAGAAAAGTCCCTGTATTAAAGAGGAAATGATATAATACATATTGTAATCTTACATATGTACTTAACAAAATCAAATGGCTACTCTATATCATGATAGCCTAGTAGAAATCTTTGCCTAAAAACTGTAAGATTGTGTAGAAATAAAATGAGTTCAAGTCCTTCCCATTTGTACTGGCTTCTGCCCATTTGCTATAGCCTCTGCCCCATATTTTAGGAAGACAAACACCTGAATGAAGCTGTGTTAAGGAGTGATTGTCCTAGCTTTGGAGAAAGGTCATGCTGTAGAGTCTGTTGGCTAAGAAAGGAATTTTATTGCTATCTGAAAAACAACTACTTGCAAATGTCTGTTCCTGCAATTCCTATCTCTGTCAACATGCCTAACAGTGATGGGAATTTCTTTAGGTGGACAGCAGAATCAGAGTCACAACCAGATAGTCGGCCACACTGTTTCTGGACCCATAAAATAATCATGTGAGTGCTGAGAACCAAACCTAATTCCTCTGGAAGAGGAATCACACAGACACCTCTCCAATCTCTCCACCCTCAGAACTGTCTTTAGGCCAGGTTTGTGGGCATCTAGGGGTTGATCTCAAGCACTATCTCATTTTGTGGTTTTGGTTTGGTTTGATTTACTTTTTTGACATTGGGTTTTTGCACTATCTCATTTTTTATTTTTTTATTTTTTTGAGACAGGTTTCCCTGTGCAACAGCTCTGGCTGTCCTGGAACTCTTTCTGTAGACCAGGCTGGTCTTGAACTCATAGAGATTCGCCTGCCTCTGCCTCCCAAGTGCTGGGATAAAAGGTGTATACCGCCACCACCTGATTTTTTTTTTGAGACAGGGTTTCTCTGTGTATGCCTGTCTTTCCTGGAATTCACTCTGTAAAGCAGGCTGGCCTCAAACTCATTAGACTATCTCATTAGACACAGTTTTCTGACAAAAAGTTAAATGAATGCCACTGAACAAATGCATTTTGTACACATATATAACTGTGATGTATGAGAAAAGAATATAAGCATCAGAGTGACCATTTCATGCTTTTGAGTTGCTAAAGGGAAAAACAACAATGCTTATGGTAAAATAATCCAAATCTTATTTTGTTGGGGAAGTCCTGTTATTTGCCTGTGCATTTGTCAATAAAGTACTGTCTGGCCAATAGAAAACCTAGATAGGAGGGACTAGGAGTCGAGGAGGATTCTGGGAAGGGGAAACAAGAGAGTCAACATGTAACGCCATTGGGGGTAGGAAGCCTGGAACTATTCTCCGGTAAGAGACATACTTAGATTAACAATTATGGGGTAATTACTTAAAGCAGAGCTAGCCAGTAAGAGACAAGCAAGGCCAACAGCTTCATAATGAATATAGCTTCCTGTGTGTTTATTTGGGACTGATGCGGATCTAGAACCAGGCTGGCGCGGCAGAGCCCAGGCGACTGGCGGGGGATAAACCAAAGCGGCTAGCAAAAGATAAAGCTTCTCTTAACATTATTTTTATGCTTTCAATATTTGTGGAGATGAACGTATATTAATTGTTTGCTTTTTTAAACATAGAACATTAGAGACTTTTTCTGTATTATTTTATTGTTTGTGTATTTGTGTGCCTCTGTGTGTGTATATTCACATGTGTGCCTCTGTGTGTATATTCACATGTGTGCCTCTGTGTGTGTGTATATTCACATGTGTGCCTCTGTGTGTGTATATTCACATGTGTGCATGTGTGTGTCTATAGTCACATGTGTGCCTCTGTGTATATGTTCACATGTGTGCCTCTGTGTATATTCACATGTGTGTCTGTGTGTGTGTGTATTCACATGTGTGCCTCTGTGTGTGTGTATATTCATATGTGTGCCTCTGTGTGTGTGTATATTCACATGTGTGCCTCTGTGTGTATATTCACATGTGTGCCTCTGTGTGTATATTCACGTGTGTGCATGTGTGTATATTCACATGTGTGCCTCTGTGTGTGTATATATTCACATGTGTGCATGTGTGTGAATTCACATGTGTGCCCCTGTGTGTGTAAATTCACATGTGTGCCTCTGTGTGTATATTCGCATGTGTGCCTCTGTGTGTGTATATTCACATGTGTGCCTCTGTGTGTGTGTATATTCACATGTGTGCCTCTGTGTGTATATTCACATGTGTGCCTCTGTGTGTATATTCATATGTGTGCATGTGTGTGTATATTCATATATGTGCATGTGTGTGTATTCACATGTGTGCATGTGTGTGTATATATTCACATGTGTGCCTCTGTGTGTATATTCACATGTGTGCCTCTGTGTGTGTATATTCACATGTGTGCCTCTGTGTGCGTATATTCACATGTGTGCCTCTGTGTGTGTATATTCACATGTGTGCCTCTGTGTGCGTATATTCACATGTGTGCCTCTGTGTGTGTATATTCACATGTGTGCCTCTGTGTGTATATTCACATGTGTGCCTCTGTGTGCGTATATTCACATGTGTGCCTCTGTGTGTGTATATTCACATGTGTGCATGTGTGTGTATATATTCACATGTGTGCTTGTGTGTATGTGTGTATCCACATGTGTGCTTGTGTGTATGTGTGTATCCACATGTGTGCCTCTGTGTGTGTACCACCATGGAGGGCTAATGTTCCTGCTTCTTTCTCCAGATTCCTGGGATTACAAGGGTTTGCCATTCCACCTGCTAGGTGATTTGTTAATAATTATGAACTATAGCTGGGGCCCAGGTGTTCAAACCCAGGAGCTTGTGGAGGGCTTTTAACACTCAAGGCATAACATGTCACAAAGTATTATAACAGGACGTGATTAACAGCAGAACTTGAATTTAGTTACTTACCTCCTATTAAAAAGGACAGGCCCAGGGAGTCTGCAGGGCGTGGACTCTCCGTACAGCTTTTGGCAGCTGGGTGCAGAGTCCCACACGTACATTCATGTCTCGGAGAAGAGTAGGTGCCTTTTGCTAGATTCTGAAAGGCTGAAGGGCAGAGATCACACGTTCTTGTCACCACTACCGTGTCTCCTTTCTCATGGAGTGCCCTCCTCTGCTGCAGGTGACTTCCCTGTTGACTACCCAGAAAAGCAGCTGAGACCTGAGACCTCAGGGCCCAAGACTAAGCTGTAAGCAGTCAGCCCAGGGGCACAACGGCTGCATCCAGGAAATCTGCCATGCAGGCCCCCTCAGTGAGCCACCAAGACCCTCTGCCTCGAAAGAATGCCACACCCTGGGAAGCCTCCTACCAACGCTTCAGTCAATTCCAATATGAAGAAGCAGCTGGGCCTCGAGAAGCCTTCTGCAAGCTCTGGGAGCTTTGCTGTCAATGGCTGAAGCCACAGATACGATCTGTGGACCAGATCCTGGCGCTGTTCCTGATGGAGAAATTCTTGCAAATTCTACCTGCAGACACAGAGGCCGGCCGGATCGTGCTCAGTGAGGAGACCAGAGAAAGAGTGTTCGCCCTGATAGAAAACCTGCAGAAAGACAACGGGGAGCCAGAGAACAAGGTGAGAACAGTGTTGGGTGTAGGAGGAAAACAATGCCGCCATTAACCATGTGACTTACTAGAGGTGCATACAGATGAGGTAATAAAAGCTCGGTTTACCACACCGCTAACCACACCCACTTTAGGCATGACTAAAGAAGTATACGGACGGACGTAAAGACGTATATGTATGTAGGCGGTGAACTACGTCACTAGCCAGGCCCACTTTTGGGCATGGCTAGGGGCGTTACGGGTGAAGGTATAAAAGATTGAACAACGGAAGTCTTGGTCTCTTTTTCTGGCTTTTGGCTTCCAGTTCGGCAGCGGAAAACTACTCGGCTCATCTGGGTTACTTGTTTGGTATCTTGTGAGTAATTTCTACAATAAATACTTAGTTTTACTTTCAGTAAGTGTGCCGTTTATCGTTACAGCAATCATTTGGTACCAGGAGTGGGGTCAGGACAAGCAGTGATTGAAAGATCTAACCGAACCTTAAAAGAGATGTTTCACAAGACAATGTGGAAATAAAATCCTACAGCCAAGGGTATGATTTTCATCAGTCTTGAATCACTTGACTTTACTTGGACTGCTAATGTCTTCAAATTATACCACAGAATTACACTTGCTAATGCATACATCTATTTACATATTTTTCTATATATAACCATGTTGTCACTATAACAAAAAATAAATTTCAAATAAGAAGATCAGTTTATGCACTTGAGGAATGGAAAAGAAATATGCATTGAATTCTAATTCCACCACTTAGATATTAACAGACTACATGGATAAGAATTAACAAACTGTATTGCCTTTGTTTATACCCTTCACTATGCAATACCACATATAGGTAGAAAATAAAGGATGCCATACTCCCTTCTAAAAAAAAAGAGAGGTGCTTCATAAACAGCCAGGGAGAACAAATACCCCCCTAAACACAGGTTACATAATGCTTTACTAAAGTCGAATTTTCTTAATGCTGATGAAAAAGGACAAACTGCAGCAGAAAGACACTGGACTACAGATTAGACTTCTGAACTGAACCAACCGTTGTATTCTAAGGATGTTATGACCTCAGTCTGGAAACCAGGATATGTGTTATGTTGGGGAAGGGGTTATGCTTTTGTTTCCACAGGAGAAGAAAAGCTTTAGGTTCCATCAAAATTAATTAAGATTCGATCAGAACAGAAGACATCTCAGGAGGAGGAAGATAACAGCTCATCTACAAATTCATATTCTACCATGGGTAAAGTGACCTCCTAAAAGGAAACAGAAGTGTTTTGTTTTTTGTCTTCACAGGTAAACTCAGCAAAGAATACTGGACATATAGATTCCTGAAGAAGAATGAATAGCTACCCTGAGGACCATCAAACAAACAGTATCTCACTGTGTGGTATCAAAGTCTAAATCTCTCTATTTTGTTTTTCATAGTACCCTTTTATCTTTGTTTCTTCATATATTTCAGTCCCCATTCATTTAACTGAAGCTGGCTATGGAGTTGGATTCGCTCTCCAACTCTAAATTCAAACATATTATTTAAACACAATTCAGAATTTCTGTATTATATCAAAGAGCCATTGATATAAGACAGAAGAAAATAAAATTAGGGACTTATCTGTGGATTTCTTTTTCTGAAAAGCCTAATTTCCTTCATGTATACCATCTTCCCTATTGTCACCTCTTCCAGTATGCATACATATAAAAGTTAAAATATTTCTTTGTTAACATTAATGTTTGAGTTTTACAGAGAAGGGATTTCATGACAGCAATCTTCAACTGCTTCAGAAAGAGAATGAGGATCCACTTCCTTGACTCCACCTGATTCGACTGAAGGCATCTGAACTGCCCCACATCATCGACCCCACCTGACAAGCACTATCCTGAAACTGGCTTGAAACTACATCACTCTACACAACTCCGGGCCAAGAAACTGAAATAGCACATCCTCTACAATCTGGCCAGAGCTTCAGATGAGAGCTTCAATCAACAGTAGAACCCCAGTCAGGAACTTCAATCAAGCATCTCCTGCCATACAGAGACTGTCTGATCTACTGAGATTTTGTTACACTAACATTTTTCTTCTCACAGGTCCCCATGAGATTATCATCATCCCATCTCAGCAGGAAGTAGTTTTGAGAATTCCACGCCCCCTCTCCCTACTATTGATATTATAGGATAGTTTACACCTGTTAGTGTTAGTTTTCAATTATTTTAGAGTTGGGATTGGAAGGAGGTGTTCAGATTTGGGTGTTTCTTTCAGATAAGTTTAGGTTTAGATGGGATAGATGTTTGATACATTTTGTTCATTGACACAAGTTAGTTGTTTTAAGTTTAAATATCCTTTTTAGACTAAAAGGGGAGTTGTAGGAGGAAAACAATGCCACCATTAACAATGTGACTTACTAGAGGCCCATACTGATGAGGTAATCAAAGAGCAGTTTACCACACCGCTAACCACACCCACTTTAGGCATGACTAAAGAAGTATACAGACGGACGTAAAGATGTATACGTACGTAGGCAGTGAACTACATCACTAGCCAGGCCCACTTTTGGGCATGGCTAGGGGGAGTTATGGGGGAAGGTATAAAAGATTGAACAACGGAAGTCTTGGTCTCTTTTTCTGGCTTTTGGCTTCCAATTCGGCGGTGGAAAACTACTTGGCTCATCTGGGTTACTTGTTTGGTATCTTGTGAGTAATTTCTACAATAAATACTTAGTTTTACTTTCAGTAAGTGTGCCATTTATCATTACAGCAATCAGTTGGGGTTTGTTGATCTTGGACCAAAAGGAGCGCCCAGGCATCTGGGTCAAGATGAGACATTCTGCCCCCGTGTCATTCCTCAGCCCCCAACCTTCCCCAGAGTCCTTTTCAACCTTCTTTTCTGTGGGAGTCAGCTGGAGTCAGTGTATGGGTCATAGGTTGGGGGTCAGAGGTCCCTCTGTACCAGACCCTGTGCCCTCTCTACAACACACAAATGGCAATGCCTCGCTTGTTTTCCGTGAAGGAAATTCTAGGGCAACGTAAGTTACCAAAAGCATCACTGAAGTTTTCAATTGTCTGCAAACCAATATTTATGATCAATCAGATATGTATGGGTGTCCCAAGATCTTAACATAGGTAGTTTTTGGTTTTGTTTTGCTTTTATTTTGAAGTTAAAACAATTGATTTTAAAAATAGAGTGAATAGCTGGGCAGTGGTGGTTCATGCCTTTAATCCCAGCACTCAGGAGGCAGAGGTAGGCGGCTCTCTATGAATTTGAGGCCAGCCTGGTCTACAGAGTGAGTTACAGGACAGTCAGGACTACATACACAGAAGAAATCCTGTCTTGAACCCACCCCAAAATAGGATAAAGACAGCTTCTGTATCTCAAATACTAACCATTGGCTCTTTATATAAACAGTTGACTTATCCTCATGGAACAGAACCTAGAAAAGATATAAAAAGGAAACATAAGTTGTATAAACTAGTAAGGTTTTCGTCATAAGCATGCTTGGGTTTTACATACCATGATTGATATCATAAAATGTTCACACGTGGCTTCTTTACCCATAATTACTGTGATGGGACAATTCAGGAATTCAGACCAATGCCCAGTGCTGTGAGCACTCTTGTCTCTAGTCATCTGAACTCTCTGGTGGCAAACAAGTCTCAGTAAACAAAAGGTCATAAGTAACATGTTGCTCCACCAATTTCCCTGCTGTGTGTTTCTGAGAAAACGAAGTCATTCTCAAATATGCAAAAATATCTTGTTTCTACCTGAACAACAGGATTCCTTTGCTAGATTCTTTCTTTCTACATGGCTGTTTGTGGAGGACATTCCATATTTGGAGACCATAAAAAGAGCTCTGCATTGTGAGTGATGCACCCACCTCTGGCTCATTAAATTCCAATAGCACCACTTGCTAGCATATCCCAGATAACCTCATGGTGTAGGCAGCATTACCTTCTGTTCAGAACCACCTCTTGAAGCTTCTGTTGAGGCAAGACATGACTGGACAATGTCCCTGGGAGGAAGCAACAGGAACTCCCATGTCGTCTAGGGCTTGAGACCAGGGCTGCTCTGAAGGAGCCATTGGCTTCAGGTTAGGTGGTGGCCTGCATAGGAGGCTGTCATCATAAGGGTCCTGGAGAGATCAGGGATAACAGGAACATACCTGAACATAATAAAAGCTATATACAGTAAACCAACAGCTAACATCAAACTAGAGAGAAACTCAACGCAATTCCTCTAAAATCAGGAACAAGCCAAGGCTGCCCAATCTCTCCATATCTCTGCAATATTGTACTTGAGGTTCTAGCTAGAGCAATAAGACAACAAAAGGAGATCAAGAGGATACAAATTGGAAAGGAAGAAGTTAAACGTTCACTATTTGCAGGTGATATGATAGTTTACATAAGTGACCCGAAAAACTACACGGAACCCGTACATCTGATATACACTTTCAGCAAAGTGGCAGGATACAAGATTAACTAAAAACAATCAGTAGCCCTATTACAGACAGAAGAAAAATGGGCTGAGAAAGAAATCAGAGAAACATTAACCTTTACAATAACCCCAAACAACATAAAATATCTGGGGATAATGCTAACCAAACAAGTGAAAACCTGTATAGCAAGAACTTTGAGTCTTTAAAGAAAGAAATTTGATACCAGAAAATGGAAAGATCTCCCATGCTCTTGGATTGTTAGGATTAACATAGTCAAAATGGCAATCTTGCCAAAAGCAATCTACACATTCAACACAATCCCCATCAAAATACCAGCACAATTATTCATAGACCTTGAAAGAAAAATAATCAACTTTATATAGAAAAACAGAAGACCCAGGATAGCCAAAACAACCCTGTAAAATAAATGAACTTCTGGAGGCATCACCATCCCTGACCTCAAGCTCTATTATAGAGCTATAGTCCTGAAAAAGCTTGGTATTGGTTCAAAAATTGACAGGTGGAATCGAACTGAAAAGTGTGATATTAACATATACACATATACACATACGAACACTTGATTTTTGACAAAGAAGCTTAAGTTATACAGTGGAAAAAAGAAAGCATCTTCAACAAATGGTGCTGGCATAACTGGATAGTGGCATGTAGAAGAATGCAGGTAGATCCATGACTATTGTCATGCACAAAACTTAAGTTCAAATAGATCAAAAACCTCGACATAAATCCAGCCACACTGAACCTCTTAGAAGAGAAAGTGGGAGGTACCCTTGAACAAATTGGTACAGGAGACTACTTCCTGAAAATAACACCAGTAGCTCAGACCTGAGATTGACAATTAACAAATGGGACCTGATGAAACTGGGAAGCTTCTGTAAGGCAAAGGACACAGTCAACAAGACAAAAAGGCAATCCACAGGATTGTAAAAGATATTCACTAACCCCACATCTGACAGAGGGCTGATCTCAAAAATTTACAAAGAATTCAAGAAGCAAGTCTTCAAAACACCAAAGAATCCAATTAAAAGGTGTGCTACAGAACTAAACAAAGAATTTCTCAATTGAGAAAGTGCTGAACATCCTTAGCCATGCAAATAAAAACAACCATGTGATACCATCTCACTCCTGTCAGAATGTGGGTGTTAGTTAGGAGACCTCAGCATTCTTTGGGCCTCAGGCAATAGATCAGCATTTATCCCTGGCATCCAGATGGACTTTGGAAGCCTATACCACCTGAAGGGATGCTGTCTCAGCCTGGACCCATGGGAGAGGGCCTAGGCCCATACCACATGAAGGGATGCTGTCTCAGCCTGGACACATTGGGGAGGGCCTAGGCCTTGCCTAGTGAAGAACCCTCAGAACAGCTACTGACTGACTAAAGTTTAGATGGCGGTCACTTTACCTTACACTCCTTAGGTTGACAAGCAAAGGCTAAGGCTGGTAGTTAGTTGTGTTGTTTTCAACAAAATGCTCTTCTAAACTTGAGTGAAAATCAAAACGCACACATAATCTGAGCTGGCTGAAAAATCAATGCAGCACGCGTACACACATACACACACACAGAGACACACACAGACACACACACACACACTTGACTGTCAGTAGGAGAGTTCCCTGGTCTCCATTGGAAACGACTAGGAAGGTTTTCCTGGTGATTTGCTTTCCACTTAATACTTCCCTCTAAGACCCTGTGGAACTCTTTCAGTCCATCAACTTTCAGCCTGGATAGTCTCACCACCTCCATGGATGACGGCAGACTAGCTTTTCACTAAGCAGAGTAGGCTCCTGCCAGCACTCACCTGGTATTCTGGAAATTATGAAGCAAAAGCAGACAGCGTGGGTCAGGGGCTCCTGCTGAAGTAGCCCTAGCCGAGAGGGAAATAGATGGAGAGACTTCATGTGTGCAAACAGCAGGCTGCGTGACCTCGGAGTCAGTTTGTGGTGACTTTCCAGCCGGCTTCCCTCTCCCCCCCTGGCATGCAATAGCAGAGCCCTATGGGGGCTTGTTCTCTAAGATAAACAGAAGTGGGCACTGCTGGCGTCTACAGACACTGGGCACTTACCGGACTCAGGCCAGAAGAAAGGGATTCGGTGGAAGCCAAGGAAGAAAGTCGACAGACAGGTAGGGGAGGTCAGTGGTGCTACTTGAGAGCTCCCGCCCACCCTCTGAGCATTTATTCGAGGCAACACAGTGGTGTCGGTCATCTCCATCCCTTCCCTCAGCTTTTGATGTGTGTGTATGTGTGTGTGTGGGGGGGGGGTCCGGATGAACAAATGCCAGCACACATCAAAGTGATGAGTCCATTTTCTGCTTTGCTTCCAGCGTTCCATTTCTCCAATGAGTACCAACATCTGGAACCTCCTGGTGAAGAACCCCCAGAACAGCTGCTGGCTGAATGCAAGACACCCGAGAAAACCCAGAAGTCCTCAGAATACCAGGACCAATGGGAGATGCCAGGGACCTCCAAGAAAGCACAGGGGCCTGTCAACCCTGGAGCCTCTGCACAGGCTCGTCCCGATGAGAGGCCTGTCTTCACTGAGCAGTTAGGGCTATGTTCTGCTCACCGGCAGCAACGTAATATTCGCGTGGGGTCTCGCTCAGGAAGGGTAGCACCAGAGGGCCCCGGAAATAGGGCATGGCCCTCCTGTGGGCCAGACCTGTGGGCCAGACCCTCCAAGGAGGAGGGTACCCATGAGTGTGCTTCGTGTGGCAGTTCATTTAGTCAGGCAGCCTATTTTGACCAAGAAAGACAGCAATGCAGGCTCTGTAAGAGGGAGTTTATGTACAAGTTGGGCCTGAAAGAGCATGTGAAAACTCAGATAGTTTCCAGGCCTTACCAGTGCCCCTACTGCGGGAAAAGCTTTAGAGGGCAGTCCCATGTTATCGCACACCAAGTGAGACACACTGACGAGAGACCATTTGTCTGCCAACACTGTCAGAAAAGCTATAAGCACAAATCCAGCCTGCTGCGACACTTGAAAACCCACAAAAGGGAGGATGAACACAAGGAAATCCAGGGCTCTCAGGGCCCCATGCACAACACACACTAATAGCTCAGCCACCTGCAAGCTTTGCAGCCCAGCTCCCCAAGGACGGGTTGCTGGAAACAGGACCCAAGAAACAGATGCTGCCCTCATAAGAGCCTCCCCAGCACCGGGCTGTCTTGGAAGCATAGTGTTGTTTGAGTTCATTCAGAATGGAGTTTTGCTTTCAGCTAGATGCAAAACCTGCCTTCCAAGGCCTACCAATGCTAGGATTGTCACCTACTCCCCATCGTCCTGCATGTAATGTTCTGGGCCCAGTATGATCTTGTTTTGCCTTTAATACGAATATTCTTTATTCCCAAGCCAGCACATTGTAAGCAAATTGACAAGCACACACATCATGGTGTTCTTTCTACAGCCTGACCCAAAATTGCAATAATCAGGGAGCATGTCCAGTTGCTCTGAAGCTAAGGAACATATTCACAGGTAACAGCGTGACCCATCAGGGAGGTGCACATGCTTCACGTTTCATTCTCTTTAGCTCAGTGCTTGAGTAACATGGAGATGCTACCCTGAATATTGCCGATAAGCCGAGGCTTGACCTCCACCCCCAGCACATACCACAGTAGCTGGCTTCTGTATAGCCATGATACTTTCTGCATCACTTGAGACTTTCACATGGTTCCTTTTGCCATGTGGATTCTTTCTGTTAGAAAATGGCAACTGAATAGCACTAGGGAGAATGTCAGATAATGTTACCACGTGAAGACCATGATGAATAAATGGGTAATATTTACTTGAAGGCTCTGAGGTAGAGTAAGAGTCGAACAGGTATCAACCTACCCCATTGTCTTTGCTGTTGGACACGATGGTAGAAGTAACAGTTTTCTAAAGATGGCCAAGGCTAAATTCAGTCTCTTTTTATTGACTCGAAGTTGTAGGGTTTTGTGTGTGAGAGAGAATTTCTCCATGACATACTGTTGGATTTTCCTCTCATTCCTTCCTCTTGCTCTAGGAGCTAGATCCTTTCTTATCCATTTTTATTAACTTGCATTTTGCCTTATAAAGGAGTTTCCTCATAGTTCTACTTTCTGTTCTTTTTTATTTTCTTAAAGAGACATCTTTTGCACCAACAAATATAGTTGTTGGCTCAGTACTCAGGAGCCTGAGGCAGGTTGAGAGCTGAAAGCCAAGGCCAGCATGCATTATGAATCCCTGTCTTGAAAAAAAGGAAGAAAAGATGGACAGAATCAAGGAAAGAAGGAAGGAAGGAAGGGAGGGATGGGGGAAGGAAGAAGGGAGGGAAGAAGGAATGAAAGAAGGGAGGGAGGGAGAAATGAAGGAGGGAAGAAGGGATGGAGAGGGAGGGAAGAAAGAATGGACGAGTGGAGGGAGGAAGGAGGGGGCAGAGAGGAAGAAGGGAGGAAGGAAGGAAGGGAGGAAGGAAGGGAGGGAGGGAGGGAGGGAGGGAGGGAGGGAGGGAGGGAGGAAGGGAGGGAGGGAGGGAGGGAGGGAGGGAGGGAGGGAGGAAGATGTGATGTCTATTCTTGATCATCAATGTGACTATATTTGGAATGAACCACAATCCAGAAATGGAGGGCACACGTGTGATCCGGATCTTGCGGCAGGAAGACAACATACCTTTGATCCAGATCTTGATGTGGGATGGCCCAGGCCTTTAATCCTGATCTCAAGGCAGGAGGATGTGGGATGGTACAGGCCTTTAATCCTGATCTCAAGGCAGGAGGATGTGAGATGGCCTAGGCCTTTAATCCTGATCTCAAGGCAGGCGGACACACCGCTAATCTGTTCACACCTTCTGCTGGAAGTGTATGTAAAGACACGGAGGAAGGAAGCTGTCGCTCTTTGCCTGCTCGCCCTCACCTTGCTAGTCCATTGCTGCACTGGCACTAGAGCCTATATTGGGGGGATTCCAACATCTACTGAAGACCAACTGAGACATCCAACATCGTGGGACTGAGAAACTACTGGATTCTTGGACTTTGTATTCACAGCCAGCCATTGTTGGACTTCAGGCAGTAAGTCATTCCAATAACTTCCTATATATATATATATATATATATATATATATATATATATATATATATGAGAGAGAATCATTCTCTAAGTTCTGTGACACTAGAGAGCCATGACTAATACAGTCTGTAAATACTGGTTGAAGTTGCAAGATGCACTCAGTGTTATCTGAAGAATGTGTGCTAGGACTCTTCTCCCTGGTCATTGATGCTCCTGCAGGGTTTTGTGCTCCATAGACTCCTTTCCCCTGGGCTGGATGTATACAGCCATTTTTCTCTTCATACAAATTGTTAGTATTATTTTCTTTATAAATTATATTATGCATATGGGTGTTTTTATGTCTGTGTTCAGTGTAAACCTGGTGCCCATGGACGCCAGAAAAGGACTTCGGATTCTCTGGATCACCATGTGAGTGCTAGGAATGAAACTTGGAAGGGCAACAGTAACTGTTCTTAACGACTGAGCCAGTGCTCCAGTTCCAACCTATGGCTTGAAACCCCTTTGGAAGTCACATATCAGATATCCTGCATATCACATATTTGCATTACAATTCATAGCAATATTTGTGGGTCAATACAGCATGAGGTGTTGCACCCTTCCACCATGGGGGTTTGCTTACCAGCTTGTGACTATGAGCTTCTAGCAAAACACTTCTTGTCCCCTCCTCCTAGTAAAGCCTGCATGCAAGTTCCTGTTTTCTGTCCATCCTTATTGTCTAAATGCTAATTCCTGTTTTTGGATCATCCTTTGCCGGAGGGCCTTGGGAACACAGGCTTCTGACCTTGGTGTTTTTCCACCGTGCCTGACTTGTGTTTAAAGCTCTGCTCTTGTTAAAATAAACGCCATTCTCCTTGTAAGAATGAGCCGCTGCCTTTGCCTTTATTTACATCCTTAGCCCTTCGCTCAGATCTTTGTGAAGTGTTATAGCCCCAAAACTGCCAACAGCCCGCTACAATGAGGAACTGTATTAAAGGATGAAAGCACTACGAAGGTTGAGAACCAGTGCCCTAGTCACTCTTCATATAAGTTGTGAGGATCAGCTGTCCCAACACTAAAGACAATTTTTAACAGCTGCCCAGCTTTTAAGCTAGCAGTAAAAATGGAAGGGTAATTTTCAGACCTAGGAGTAGCCTGGCCTCTTTGTACCATTCCACAGCCACCCTCAGGGTTTGATCATAGGCGTCTATCCTGAGTGCAGAGAACATCCAGAGCAATTCCTCCACAGTTTTTGTAACTTGACATTCCAGAACCAGCAGGGGTTTGAGCCTTAGTGCCATGGTTGTTAACACTGGACTATAGAGAACATGGAAATGTGTCTCCCCTTGCATCATCACGAGGTGACAGAACAGAAGTATTACACTTTTCCCCTTGCATCTGAAGCCCCTGCTAACGTTCTGACGATAAACTCTCCAGGTATAGTGGCATATGCTTAAAATCCCACGACTCAGGAGGCTAAGGGGTACAAATTATAAACTCAAGGCCAGCCTTGGGTGTGTAACAATCCCCAGTTCAATATAGGATACTTAGTGAGACATGGTATCAAAAAATTTGAAAACAAGCCGGGCAGTGGTGGCACAGGCCTTTAATCCCAGCACTCAGGATGCAGACGCAGGTGGCTCTCTGTGAGTTCAAGGCCAGCCTGATCTACAGAGAGAGTTCTAAGACAGGCTCCAAAGCTACACAGAGAAACCCTGTCTCAAAAAAAACAAAGAGAAAGAGAGAAGAAAGGAGGGAGGGAATGAGGGAGAGGAAGAGTGAAACTTAGAAACAAATAAAAATAACATGAGAGCCGGACGGTGGTGGCGCACACCTTAAATCCCAGCACTCGGGAGGCAGAGGCAGGCGGATCTCTGTGAGTTCGAGGCAGGGCTGGACTGATAGCCTCCAAAACAATACAGAGAACCCCTGTCTCGTAAAAACAAAAAAAAATGACATGAGATTCAGTCTCTTTCTCAGTCCTGTCCTATGCTGAATATTCTCCAAAAGAGCAAGAACTCACACCTCAGCCTGGACCAAGTTCCTGCTTCTTTTCTAGTGTTCTATACCACACGTGCCCCTCTTTGGCGTTCATGCTTAATTGTCCCAGGCTTGTTAGCCATTCAGATCAGCTGACTGTCTCCAGTTTGTGCTTTCAAAGATGATTTCTCAGAGACCCAGCACAGGTTAGGTCCATATCCTTTAATGATGTGGAACAGTTAGATGCCGATAGATGTTAAATGTCTGTCTTCATCTGACACCTCTAACCTTTTTTTTTTTTTTGGTTTTTACGAGACAGGGTTTCTCTGTATTGTTTTGGAGGCTGTCAGTCCAGCCTGGCCTCGAACTCACAGAGATCCACCTGCCTCTGCCTCCCAAGTGCTGGGATTAAAGGCGTGTGCCACCACCACCCGGCTGACACCTCTAACCTTGAACACAAGGATAAGAATGTATGAATGACTGGAGATAATGATGATGATTTGAAGCAGCAAAATTGACATCCCTCAAGAAGAGCAGACAGTAGTTGTCATCCCTCATGGTGGCCTCCTCAATCTAACAGTTCTAGTAGTTATTGTACTTTCCAGAGGCATTCTGCCTCCACCTCTTCCCAGCTAAGTTCCCATCATAAGAAGGATGAGATCATAAGAAGGATGAGAGGCAGGGAAGGGTAGAATCTCCCCATCTGTCTGGTGGGGAAAGAGGACCTCTGCTGAATACTGCCTGAGACTCTGTGCACATGCACCCTGGGCTAGCAACCCTCCACATTATAAGGAGTACACTCCCCACTGTGCATCAAAGCACAAAAAACTGAACAATGTTTCCTACCATAGAATTCCAACTTTCATGTTGAAGGAAGGTAAGCCAAGTTATGTCTTCTCAAGATTTACCAAATAAATGCCCCTGCTATGTCTTACTTGATTCCCAAGAGCCTATTAAGCCAAAAGTTTCCTTAGCACTATAGTATTTAACGAGTTGCTAAAGGCAGAGACGGTTACCCCTCTCTAAATGTAGGATACACTTTGGCTGCATTGTGTAGTAGGTAACACCAGTAA